CCAAATGTTTTTTTTCTATATTTCTTTGCCGAAACAGATTTTAAATTACTACTATCTGAAGCCCTTGCCTTAAACTAACATGTAAGATCGATGATACAGATTTTAGTCCAGCTGTGAGAAAGTTACATTAGTAACGAAGATTAATTTTAATTTATAAGTCTGAGAATTAACAAATGTAAATAATACGTTATACGTTAAATTTTCTTACTGGATACAGTATTTTCAAACAGTTTCAAATAGCCAGTAAAATAATCATAAGCTAAGAGGTTAAAACATTACATGATTAGATATAGATTAAGAATACAGTTTGCATTTGCGTTATATTGCGTTGCTTGATTATCTAAATCTTGTGGCACAACTGGCTTTCTAGATCGATATGAGAGTTCAAGTATTTATATTGCCAAATTTATCCAACATTACGTAGATAGTGACCTACTTCTTCGTTCAACAACATTATCAGTCTCTTAATCGTTTTGAATTTTATCAGATTAAGACACTTACAAGCATTTGTTTTTTCATCCTTTATACATCGTTGCTTATTCCTTTTTTCCCTTTAAACAACGGTTCGAGCAACGTTAATTAAATTTCTTTACATATGATTACAATTTTATTGAATATACAGGGTGTTCGTGTTGTTACTAGCCAGCAAATGCCGAGAATTAAAAATTTCGGCGTTAAATATAATTCCTACAACTAAATGTGTCCAACGAAATCTTACCCTTTTTTGATCCCGAATAAAACGGTGTGCTTTTTTTTTTCAATAGCTCATACGGTTCCCGAGTTACGGCTAAATGGAACGAATAGACACGTATAACGCGGCGCTTGGGGTTAGTAGTTCTTCGCGATTTTCACGTAAACCACTGGGCCGATTCTAGTTTTCTCTACGGTGTTCAATTCTGCTATGCATTCTGTACGTCGGCGTCGAATTTTCGGACTACGATGGTGGGGTTAATTACAAATAATTAAATATTTCGACGTTAAAAATTATTCCTACAACTAAATGTATCCAACGAAATATTACCATTTTTTGATCTTAAACACAACGGTATGATTGGTTTTTCAATAGCTCATACGGTTCCCGAGTTACGGGTAAAAGACGCGAATAGTACAGTAAAAACGAAAGAGGAAAATGTTTTATGGTGTTTTGTAACCAGCGCAATAGCACATGTGAACTTCGTATATTTGCAATGTTTTTCGAAAAACGAAGCTGTCGTTTAATTTTTTTTTTAATTTTTAAATTTTAATTATTTCACTTTTTCTATGTAATTAAATGCAATGTCATATATAAATTTTTTTAACGCAAGTTCAACTGTGTGTGACACAATGTCTTATACAAAATCATACAAGGTCATTTTGATTATACTCGTAGTAAATACGTGTCATATTTACTTTCCTTTCTGTCATACAGTCGAGCATCACGATAAAATATTATTGAACACTAAGATTTAACCCATTGCGGTCCAAATAGTCCAGTTAGTTCGCACTCATTCAGTCACTGTCGGCCAGTTTCCCTTTGTTTCAATATTTCAGCGTAATATTAGCTATAAAATATTAAGTTTCAGTGTAATATTAATGCATAAAAAAATGGTTTATTATCATTTATAATTTATCATTATATGATATCTGAAGGGAAAAATTCTTATGTCGAGACTTACTCGACATAGGACCGCAAGGGGTTAAAATTGAATTCTTTATTCATTATTTTAAAATACGAAATTGTAACAAGGCATACGTTAGTTATTGTTTCGTCTGAGGATACTGAAACTACGCATTCAGGATAACGTATAACGTTTGTACTACTGCAAACGTAAGTAAATATTCTGATAGCCAGTAACAACACTATACCAGTCACACTGAACGCGTTATGTAGTCTTATCAATAAGGCATACATATGTACTTGTATATACAGCATTACGAAATGTTCTAACTGTTTCTCTTGTCGTAGACTTGCTAGTTTTTATTTAATAAGCCGTTTTATTTTTGCACTCTTACAATTTTTGGATTCGACGTGAACTGGGTTTCGTTCCGCACTCGTTTACAGTAACTTTATTAGTGGTACACAAATTGATACTTATAATAGAATTTAGAAGCAATAGTCTAGCGTGGTTGCATTTTGTGGATAGACTGTTTTCTACTCCCTTTTTGGAGCACTATTTGTACGTAGGTTTTTGGGAGTTCTGGGTGGGAGAACTAGGAATGTACCTGTTGGGGAAACTCAGGCGTTTGTAAGGACAATGGGCAGGAAATGTTAGGATCGAGGGATCGATGGAAATGAACAAATAATGTAGGGATAACGAGAGGGTTTGCAGGTGACATAATCAAGGGTCTATTTTTGGTGGAAAAATGGCACGAGATGAGGATCCTTTGGTGATAGTCGAGGAATTCGGTGAGAAAAAGGGAAACGCACTGATGTTTATCACGAAGGATGCGTCGGAACGAGGACCAGGGTGCCTGACCGCTAGGAGAGAAAGGAAGCAGGGCTCGACACTCTCATTCCTCACTTTGCATAACTTCGAACGTCATTGTGTCACACTGATTGAATTTGGTCGTTTTCATATCACATATGAAAATATATCGCATTTCATACATAAAGATTGAAGGCCACCTTTGTTTTCCGAAATCTATTGCAAACTATTATGTTAGTTATAAAACACCGTAAAACCTTTTCCCTCTTTTTGTACGGCTGTACAAACTTCGTTCAGTAGTTACACATTATCCGTAATTAATCACGATAAAGTCAGAACTTCTAAAGATACGTAACTATTTCATCTCACTGTATCTACAACTGAACGAACAACAAAAGCGGCTACAGGACTACGATATCAACTGTATTCATCTTTTTTGGAATTATTTTAACTGAAAAGGACCTTCTTAGTCTTTCATCTCATTGCGACTCGATTTCCGTTTAATTAATTTTCATGAAAAAATGATTTTATTTCATTATTTTACTTCTAAATTAAGCATTTCATATGAATATAAGAAATAGCTCGTGTCAGTACTGAGCTTCAGAAAATCAATTTTCCAGAAGACGTTCTAAAAATTCCTGAATCACTTATCTACCGTGATAACACGTAATATGTACGTACAACATTTTCATATTCACTGGCAAAGTCGTTTCCTATGTGAACAAGAAGAACATATTGCTAAGCAATATAAGTAACCTGACAGAAGTGGTAATACTAAGATCGAACGAAGATCATGAAAATAACAGTAATTACGTACAAAATGATACTGAAGATGACTTAAACGATACATGCAACGAAAAAATGACGAGAACGACAACGACAATATATTTATTAGGTTCTTGTATATGAGATAATTGCTAATTTGCTATTGACAGATCGATGTTAAAATACTACTTAAAGTTAAAACTTTCAAGTGTGTGTGAGAATCAGAGTGTCCACGGGTACGCGTAGTTCTTAGCTTGGTATCCTTTTGCAAAAGTGAGAATTTTCTTTGGAAAAGGATACCAATTACCAGGTCCCACCACGAGGAGGTGACTACGCAAGGGACCCGACAAAAACACATGCCCTACTGGCAGCTCTCTATCTTCAGAGATACGCGATTCTCATTCGTAGCAAAGGAAATAGATACTTTTATCAAAAAGAGTGTCTTGTATTTCACTTTAAATCGCAACTCTAATCATTTTCTCATTCCTAATGCAATATTTAAACTCTAAAAATTTCGTACTCTTCCTTAATAAGATGTTGAAAATGTAGATGGTATTTTATTAATTATGCTACGAATGAGTCGCGTATCTCTGTAAGAGAGCGCGCACATGGTATTCAATACAATTTTTCTATCTTAGAATTAGTTGCTTTATTTGATAAATTATTTAAAGTTAAAACGCACGCGTCCCACGACGTCCATCGGCGGATGAATAGAATATTTTCTATTGTCTTATGCTAACTTATTTTATCTTACGAACTACTTAAAGTTAAGACACTCGTTCACGCTCACTTCATACTCGGTACAGTTTTCGATCTTAGAATTAATTAAAGCTAACATGCGATAAAAAGGTACATTTTTCAAACATACAATGAACTTCTGTAAGAAAAGTATATTATTAAATTGCAATAGGAGGATAAATTG